CCCGGCGACTGACACACAGCCGTGGACGCAGCCATGCTGGAGCCCAAAGGCCGGGACAGGGAGAGCGGCCAGGTCTGCGTCCTGAGGCCGCGCTGTGTCTTCAAAGGGCCATCGTGCCCATCTGTGTCCTAATCCCTTCTCACGGGGACACTGTTAGGGTCGAGGCCACACGTAGGACCCACCACACGCCCTGCCCCTTTAGAGCCTTGTCTCCAGTGCAATCGCATTCAAGGTACGGCGAGGTGTGGCATCGGACTGGGGACACACACCACCCACCATGAGTGCTTAAGGAAACAGTGGATTCTTCCTCCTTCGGTGGCAGGGATGTGAGACATTTTCTCTGCAAGACAGATTTACTTTTAAAAAAGACAAAATGCACACAGAGGCCGGGAATGTGCACAGCTGCCGGGCATGTGCAGTCGGAGGCCCTAGAACAAGGCGGGTGTGATGGTGACCAGCCAGAGGGAGGGTCTCAGGGCGGACGGGCGCTGGGGTCTGTGGGGCGCGAAGTGCGGGCATGTCCTGTGCTGGCAGTGTCCATGGCCCGCCGTTCCGCCAGACGGCCCGGGGTGCAGGGCCTTCGCAACATCTTCCCGTCTAGGCTCTGCTCTGCTCTCGGCTCCGTGGTGCCCATGACACCGGTAACTGAAAGGGCATGGCGGTGCCCACCCCGCGTGAGTCCTGATGCTCCTGAATTCTCGATGTCTGTTTAGCTAAAACAAAATTCTCGCAGCAATTTTTCCTCCTTAATAATCCACTGCCTAGGGATCAGCAGTTAGCGTAATGGCTATGTCGCTGGACTCCCACATAGTCGACCGCGGTTCAAGTCCTGGACCTGGCGGCTTAAACTCATGCCGGGTGCATGTGCATGCGTGCCCAAGATCCTGAGAGGAGAATAGAGGAGAAGGGATTGTGGCGTGGCCATCCCCCCTGGGGGGTGATTTCTCGCTTTCTGTCTCTCTGTCTCTCTCTGTCTGGCGAGTGCACGTGCCCTCTAGCGAAAACCTCTCAAAAAAAAAAAAAAAATCCGGGAACCAGCAGTTAGCGTAATCGCTATGTCGCTGGACTCCCATGTAGTTGACCGTGGTTCGTGTCCCGGACCCGGTGGCTTAAAACTCACACCGGGCGCGTGTGCGTGCGTGCCCAAGATCCCGAGAAGAGAATGGAGGAGAAGGGATTGCGGCGTGACCATCCCCCCTGGGGGTGGTTTCTCGCTTTCTGTCTCTCTGTCTCTGTCTGTCTGGCGAGTGCACATGCCCTATAGCGAAAACCTCTCTAAAAAAAAAAAAAAAATCCACTCCCTAAATTCATGGTTCCTGAGAAACCTCCATGGGCTCGAACTTGAGCATTAAGTTCAGCTTTCATGAAACGAGCATTTCCAGGAAGGGAGGGCAGGGCAGGCACAGAGTGGGCAGAGGTGGTGCAGCAGCTGCATGGCACTCCATGACTCTGGGCACACAGAGGGCCCTGTCCCTGCCCTAGGGTCTCCGGACACACCCACAACAGGCTGCCTGAGGCTTGGAGAGCCGTGGCATGAATACACTTTGGGGGTGCTGTCTCTTGTCCCTGTTTCTCTCTGATGGAAGAGATAAGCTTTTAGAAAAGAATGGAGAGCAGCAGACTGTCGCGAAGCCTCCTCAAGACAGGCCCAGGTCTGTCCTTGGGCCTTCACTGGGCCAAGTGTAAATCCTGGAGGGCTGCTGGGCTTTCCCAGCAGGCAGTTCAGGGCGGCAGGGCCCTAGGGGGTGAGCCTCAGACTGCTCAGCCGTGCTAGAGCCAAGTCGGGGCTCAGGGCCAAGGCCGAGCCTAGTCTGGAAGTGGGTCCAAAGCCAGAGGAGCCAGGCTGCAGCTTGCCCAGTTCAAAGACAGACATTGTGAAACTCAGAGCAACCCCAAGGCCACCGCGGGGCACAGCCGCGCAGAGACCACAGAGCGCCCCTCAGGGAACGTCTGGTCCTGCCAGAACTGAAGGTTCTGTGCACGGTGAGAATCCAGGACCAGCCCTGGGGCCTGGGCTCAGAACGCACTGGGAGGAGGAACTGCAGAGACAGCTGGACCTGCCACCCTGGCTCAGCTTTCTCTGGGGAGCCTGGGGACTCCAGAGAAAACCACCTACTCAGTGGCAACAAAATGCAGGTCCCATGTGAGTCAGGCCTCTGCTCATGGCCAGGTCACTGGACGTCGTGGGGACTGAGGCCTCATGGGCACAGGCAAGGACCCACCAGTCCTTAGGGGAATGTCACCCCAGAGCACGCGAGCCCAGCCCGCTCAGAGACCCGCAGGGGGCTGAAGTTGCCTCCTGCGTGGGAGACCACCAGGGAGAGGAAGCATGGTGGCCAAGGGCTCCCGGGGTCCTTCCCGGCTCTGGAAGGGGAGGGGGCCAAGGGCAGCCGCCAGGGGCCTGGAGCTAGGGCGGCCACCAGAGGTGCAGCCCTCCTGAGCGGCTGCTCTCCTCCACCTGCTGCGCGTTTGGTTGGCCGCCCCTTTATCCTTTTCACAAAAAATATGTTACTTTAAAATAAAAGGACTGTGGGATGCCTGTTTTTATTTTATTTCTAGAGAGATTTTGGTATAGCACACATGTGCTCGCCAGACACAGAGAGAAAGTGAGAAATCACCCTCGGGGGGAGGCACGCTGCAATCCCCTTTCCTCCAATCTCCTCTCAGGATTTTGGGCAAGCATGTACATGCGCCTGGCATGTGTTTCAAGCCGCCAGGTCTGACACTCACGCCGCCGTTGACCACATGGGAGTCAGGGCCCCGACAGCCACCCCACCTGCTGGCCTTAAGTGTCGGTTTCTAAAGAAGCCTTTTCTGCCTCCCTCCCAGCTTCCCGGGCTGGGCTTCGACACCTGCGCAGGAGCCAGATGTGGGAGCAGGTCCGACTGCCCTGCACCAAAAGCCTTGGGCCCAGTGGCCCTTCCTTGGCTCCCATTGGCCCTGTTCTCGCCACATGGACCCCGAGCAGCCGCTGACCGGCTTATTTTATTTCTAGAGAGATTTTGGTATAGCACACATGTGCTCGCCAGACACAGAGAGAAAGTGAGAAATCACCCTCGGGGGGAGGCACGCTGCAATCCCCTTTCCTCCAATCTCCTCTCAGGATTTTGGGCAAGCATGTACATGCGCCTGGCATGTGTTTCAAGCCGCCAGGTCTGACACTCACGCCGCCGTTGACCACATGGGAGTCAGGGCCCCGACAGCCACCCCACCTGCTGGCCTTAAGTGTCGGTTTCTAAAGAAGCCTTTTCTGCCTCCCTCCCAGCTTCCCGGGCTGGGCTTCGACACCTGCGCAGGAGCCAGATGTGGGAGCAGGTCCGACTGCCCTGCACCAAAAGCCTTGGGCCCAGTGGCCCTTCCTTGGCTCCCATTGGCCCTGTTCTCGCCACATGGACCCCGAGCAGCCGCTGCCTGGCTTCCCTGTGCCAGTATGGAAGGACAGCCTGTCGGAGGAGACCAAGGTGTGCGTCCCACACCTCTGCCCTGCAGGAGGTCGGGAGGACAGCGTGTCAGCGCCAGCCCACCCCAGCTAGCTCCAATTACCCAGGTGTCCAGGGAGCGGCCAGTCTCTGGAGCAGGGCTGCATACAGACACCACACCAGCCGCAGGTGGGATGCCACGCTCCCCCCAGCCACACTCAGCAAGCCGAAGGCAAGAGCGGAGTACCTTGTATTTAACCCACTATAATATAAATGTTAGTATTTTGACATGTAATCGATATTTGTAAAGTTACTAATGTAATATTTTACACTTCTTATGCTTGGTCATGACACCGCTGTGGGCCTCACACACAACACACCTGACTTGGGCTGGCCACCTGCAGCTGCTCCAAGCACGTGTGTCTGGAGACGCCCGTGGCGAGCACAGCTCTGGAGTTGGAAGGAAATGCCCAGAATGCCGTCAAGTCTTTGTCCAGGGCCTCACCATTCAGATCGCACGGTAAGGTCTGAGATACCCAACTGGCAAACACGGACCAAAGTTCAACGTGCTTCCGACGAATCGAAATGTCCACTGAGTCTCCCAGAGCCCGTCAGCCGGGCTGAGTATACCTCCTGATATTCAGGCAACTGGACCACCGCACAAATGTAGAACGGAGGACACAGGCTTGATGATTTGTGTGGGCAAAGAATCTAGGTTTAGGTTGACCACAATCTTCTAAGTCTCACTGTGATGAGATGTTTACAAATGGGATGACCAAGGCAGCAGCCCCCAGCCTGAGCCACCCAGGGCCAGGGCTGCGAATAGTCGGCCTTGAGTCCAGAGTGGCCCAGGGAGGCTGCACCCAGTTCCTGGGTCCTGGTGGAACTGCTGCGCCCTGACACGCTCGCCCTGACACACCTGTGTCCCAGAGGGGCCGAGGGGAGGCCTTTGCTTGGTTTGTTCCTGGGTCCTAGTGGAGCTGCTGCGCCCTGACACGCTCGCCCTGACATGCTCACCCTGACACGCTCACCCTGACACACTCGTGTCCCGGAGGGGACAAGGGGAGGCCATTGCCTGTTCCTGGGTCCTGGTGGAGCTGCTGCGCCCTGACACGCTCGCCCTGACATGCTCACCCTGACACGCTCGGTGGAGCTGCCTCGTGTCCCGGAGGGGACAAGGGGAGGCCATTGCCTGTTCCTGGGTCCTGGTGGAGCTGCTGCGCCCTGACACGCTTGTGGAGGTGAGGGCTGAGCTCTCACGCTGTCGCAGGGCTGCCGGGGCCTTGCTCCACGTGGCAGCACACATGCCCGTGGGGCGGTGCCAGGTGGCTCAGGAGGACTGGCTGGCAGGGAGACAAGGTTGGGGCTGTGCTGGCCAACCTCTCGGCCTGACCCCGAGTGACAGACCAGCGCTTAGGACAGAGCCTGCCGGCAGTGCATGGTATCGGTGCTGGTCATCGGTAATTATTAACCACCTGGGTGCCCTGATGTTCTCATCAAGTCACACCCAGAGAGATGTGCTGACTTCATCCCAGCCCTTTTTCAAGTTTATTTATTCAGTTTCTTTCATGAGAGAGAGTGCAGGAGAGACAGAGCATGGCAGAGCCCCCGGCAGGGCCTTGCTGCAGCGTCTCGGCTTCCCACCGGCCAGGACGGCAGGTGTGCCTGTGTGCACCTGGTGAGGGCCTGGGGTTCGGGCCCCAAGCTCAGTCTTCCCGAGGCTCCAGCAGTGCAGAGCATCACGCTGCCGCCTGCCCACCAGGCAGGACCCAAGGACAGTACGAGGGTTTCCACGAGCTGGTCAGGGTTCTCACATGTGAGCTAACAGGGCCCGCCCTGAGACCGGGCGCATCGTGTATCAGAGCTCTGCTGTCCCAGACAGAGTGGATTGATCCTGTTCTTAGGAACCCCGCTGGGCAGACCAGCCCAGCCCCTGAGGGCTGCAGAACCCCTCCTATGTCGGTCAGAACTCCTGGGCTCCCAGGCCTCCTCATGGTGTCTGATAGGACGCATGTGCGAGGGTTTGCATACCCCCACCCCCACCACTGTTTTCAGAATTTGCTAGAACAACTCAGAACTCAGGAAGGTATTCTTCTCACGCTGCTCACTGTGAAGGAAGCACTGGCCCGGCCGGTGGTGGCGAGGGTCATGGGGAGGCTCAGCGCAGGGTCCACGCAGAGCCCTGCCGCCAGGCAGGTAACACGCCGACAACCTGGACCGTGCCCGTGACAGCAGGGCCTGGAGCCCTTCTGGCGGGCGTGGAGGCCTGGCTGGCTGGGCTGCAGCTGTGCTGACCAGCTCAGATCACTGCTCTTGTCTCCATAGTCTTCCAGCCTCGGGTGGAGTCTGGCTGTCAGGACCTCAAGTGACCTCACAGCAGAAGCCAGGTGTGTCCACTGCTCTGGTCCCTCGGGCCTGGGGGCTCTGTGATGGGACCAGGGACAAAGGCCAGACGCCTCTTTATTGCCCCCACTGAGCTTCTCACTTCCTTCTCCAGGAAGGCGAGTACCACCAGCGATGACCACACCGTGTCCCCCAGGCAAACCCCATACGGATCCCTCCCCACAAGCAAAGGGTTAGGTCTGGGGAGGGTAGCTGGCCGGGAGAAAATGCGGCTCAGAGAAAGAATTTCCTCAAGTGCAGACTCAAGGCTCCTGCCACTTGGAGAGCCCAAACCGACCGCGGCCGAGGCAGCAGGGGCACAGTCTGTCCAGCCAGGGCGTGCTCCCCCTCCAGAGGCTGGGCAGACCGAGGCGGGCCCACCCAGTCTGGGCAGCTTCCGTCCGCGCCGCGTCGGGTGCAGAAGCATGGCTTCCTTCCCGCCTTCTCCGGGCAGCCTGGTGAGTGAGACACTGCGGCCAGCTCGGAGGGCAAAGGTGAGCACTGCCAGCCCCGACAGCGACTCGCTGACATGAAGGCCTCCCCGTCCAACTCAGGGGCCACTTCTCTGGCTTCCTCTTACTCAGCCCTGAACAGCATTTGCCCTGGCCCATGCCATTCTCGAACACCTGTGCTCACACTTCCCGCGCCTGCCCCAGGGTGGCTGCGATGATGCCCAGTGGCCCGCCATCCATGAGGGTGAGGACTGCAGCCCCACTGGCAGCCTGAGCTCAGCTAGGAGACAGGAGGGCAGACGTAGCCCTGGAAGGCCCCGCACAGCCCCACCAGCCCGCCCCTTGGAAGGCCCCTCACAGCCCTGCCTGCCCCTCTGTGTCACCTGTCCTGGTAGGCACTCCCTTGGCCTGGGTCTGGAAGGAAGGCAAGGACAGAGCCGAGCAGCCTCGCGGCTGGTGGGAGTGCTGAGGGACGGCACAGGGGACCGTGGGGAAGCCCAGCACTGTGTCCTGCATCCTGCGTCCTGCTCCAGCGCCCTGTCCCTCCTCCTCCAGTGTTGGAGCCGCTGAGGGGGAGCACCTGGGGACACCGTCCTGCCTCCTGCTCCAGCTGATCTCGGCCCTTCCAGGACTCCTGGGCCCGGACTTCAAAGACAAGGTGTGCTGCCGGTACCAAGCCCACGTCTGCCCCTCTCCCCACGGAGAGCCAACCACGTGTGGCAGACTGTGGGAGGAACACGCCACCTGGACCGCGTGGCCCTGACAGAAACAGATTGACCTCCACTGTGGGGGGCCGGCCATCCCAGAACCCGGGACACACCGCAGCTGCAGCCAACCTGACTTAAGACACAAAGCAGGTGGGACAGCAGGTGGCGTGGTGGTTGAGGCGCTGGACTCCCACCTGGCTGACCATGGTTCAGGTCCTGGACCTGGCAGCTTGGTTTCACACTTTCCCTCTCACTGTCCCTCTCATGCTCTCTCTCTCTGGTCCAACTAAAAATAAATAAATAGAGTTAAATAAATAATTTTTAAAAATAAATAAATAAAACAAGTGGGAAGGCCCTGCTGTCCCCACATGGACAATTGAGCAAGTATAGCGAGTGACAGAGTGGTTAGGGACTCTATCCTGCAAGGCCCAAGCCCAGTTTGAGTCCTGGACCCAGCACCTTGAAAAAACACACGGCATGCATGTGTGTGTGTGTGTGTGTGCAGCATATGTGTTTAACTCCAAAAAGGAGGGAGAAAAGGAGAACAGATTCTGCGCCCCAAGAAGAGCGAAGGCTTCCTTCCGCAGAAGCGGCCGAGCTGATGGCGAGGACGACCGAGGCTGTGGCTCCCCTCCAGCTCTGCCTTTCCGAGCCTCTAGGTCTTGCGAGAAGTGGAGGACGGCAAAGCCGATGCACTTTTCCTCTTATCGCTCCTGCTCCCGCTCCTGGGAGGCAGAAGGCTGGTCAGACCATCCCACCAAAGGGAAAATAGCTTTAATTTGGACCCGCCGTTTGATCTTGACGTAGGCTGTTTTGACCATGGGCTCGGTTTGCTCTAACCTGGTAGATCCATTCACTCCCCTCGCACGCGAGAAGTCACTGAGGGACCACGGGCAGGGGAGATAGCAGTGATTGTGCGGTCACGTGAGAGGGCTCGTGTTTTGTCACTGTAGGTGAATGGCAGTGGGTGACACACTTTTCTTACATCTTAGTAACACGTCAGAGCTTAGAGTGGGTCTGGAGGAAGACACCTGTTGTGTTTGCTTGTTGCTCCGGGGAGGAGGCTTTTGCTGGTCAGGATACCCTGTCTCCGCTCAGACCTCGGACTCCGGCCATGCCCTGGCAGCCAGGCAGGTCGGCCCAGCTCCGGGCTCCCGCTCAGAGTGGTATTCAGGTTGTGTGGCCGTGACAAATGCCAGACAGGAACCTGCACATACGTTCTCACAAGGGGGACTCAAATGAACTTTCTGAACCTCAGTTTTAACTGGAAGCCTGTGTTGCCCATGCGAGCCACAGGGAAGGTATCAGCTCCCTGCGTGCCCCACTGCTCATGCCACCTGCTGCTGGCAAAAACATGTCTGCAGCACGACCTTTGTTTCTGAGGGGGGAACAAAAAACTAAGACACCAGGTTAAGGTACTCTTCTCCAGAAGGACTTTCACTAACAGAGGGTTCTAATGAAACCATTCAGTCTGGATGTGAAGCAGAAAGCAGCTACACGGTGACAGTCACAACCCAGGCAGCGCAGCCCTGGTGCCGGGCAATGTCCGTCAGGTTGAAGCAGGACTCGCCCGCACAGAGAACGCCTGCCTTCCCTCTGCTTGCCAGAGCCGCTCGGTTTCCTCCACTCCAGGCCGCTTGCTTTAAACACTAGTCACAATTTATTGTTTTGGCATGGTGCTAGTGTCCGAGGAACCCCAGGAACGAACTGTAGTGGCTCCCGGGACAGATCTGTGACCAGGGCAGCTTCCAGAGACAGCCGAGGTGCATTGCTGTCGAGCCCCTGGGGCAGCAGGGGCTCAGGCCTGTGCGGCGTGACGTCCAATCCCCACCCATCACCAGCCCTGGGCTTCCTTCTACACCTCTGCCCATCGCACGGGCATCAGCCTCTCGCCAGCCTCAGTAACCCAATCACCCTCTTCTTGCAGCCCACCTGAATGAGCTGCTTGTCCTGGAAGTCACGCTGGATTAGGGGCTGTGTTTGCAAAGCCCAAAACTGGTCCTGCTGGGGCCTCGGTGGAGGCCCTGACGTTCAGTTCACAGGCAGGCGAGCAAGGTCAGAGGTCGGCGTCTGTGAGTCACCTGGACTCGGCCTCAGCCTTGGGCAGCACCTACTCTGAATCAAGACTGCCGTTTGCTGCCGTGTGATTTGCCGAGGCTCAGTTTTCTCACTGATCGAGGTGCTAATGCAACACCCATCTGCAGGGACACTGGCGTAAATACGACGGTGCGTGCCCAGCACCACCAGTCCCCGTGCTGAGCTCCACCAGTCGGGCAGACGGTGGGGACCTGTGGCCTCGGTCACTGAGGCGGCCCATGCTGGCCTCCGAGCTGCTCCACGCCTGCAAGTATCAATCGTGCACAAGGTTGTCACCTTGCGGCGTGGGCCTCCTTGCCTGGTTCCAGAGGAGCCTGTTCTCAGGCCTCCCTGCTGGGGGTGGGGCTGCGAGGCCACCGATGACCCTGGAAGGGCTGAGAGAGGGAGCGCCCCAGGGCACAGCGTCCCGCCCCAGCAGGCTTCAAGTGCTGGGCTCTCTCGCGCCTTCCTACAGGACCTCCCAGCAGACAGCGGAGCTGCCGGTTTCTGTCCTCCCTCTTGGAAACACAGGCGGCATGGAGCGGTGACACAGCTCATGGCGGGACATTCTCCTCCACAGGCGGGCGGGAGCTAGGAGCCAGGGGCCAGGCTGGGCCGTCCCCCTGGCCGGCTGCCCCGGGGCCCTCCTGGGAGCCCCTCCTTCATGCTGGGTGGGTGGCTGTGGCCACACCCTGTGCAGTTGCTCCCTGGGCACGGTGGCTCCTCCCTCCCCTGCTGTGCTAACTAGCTGGCTGAGGCTTCTTCCTTTGCAACCTGAATGCACTCTGGCTCCTCGAGTACCCTGTGGGAGCTATGGGGCCTGCAGGGGTGCTGCGGGCCCAGGCGGGAGCTGTACAGCTTGCAGGGGCGCTGCGGACCTCTTCCCTGAGCTCACAGGGTGTTGACACCCCCAACCCCTGCTGGCTCAGAATGGAAGTACTTCTTAGGGAAGCATGACTTTGAAGAATTGGCTGGAGGCAGGTCTCCTGTGTCCTTGGACTCCCTGTGATGAAGGCCGAGTTTCCGGTTGCTTCGAGTTCGTGGCACTCCCTGGGCTCCTGACCAGGGCACTGGCTTGGTGTGGGGCCACCCTGTGGGCTTCAGGCACTGGCGCCCAAGTCTCTCACTGCAGTGGAGATGGACTTGCTTGGGCCCGTTGACAGATCTCGCCCTCCAGCCAGCCTGGCAGCAGAAGCAGAGAACCAGGAGCCCACAGGCTTGCTTCGACAGGGCCGCCGACTGTGAGCTGGCAATGCTGGTCTCAGTCCTCTACAAACTGAGCGCTCCGGGCTGTTCCGCGCTCGGCGCTCACTCGGTTCGGCACTGGCTCGGCACTTCCCACTCTCGAAGTCTGCGGTTTTCACTATGTACGCCCGGGGGCGGGGAGGATGGAGGAGAAATCCTCGGCACAGTCCCCTGCACACACGCCACGCCCACACACGTTCCCACTAGCAAGACGGGCAGCAGGGCCACCGTTAGCTGGGCGGTGCAGTGGGGTCACTGGGAGGGAGGCCTCTCCTCGGCAGGAAGTGCACCCCTGCTGCCGGACCAGGGGACAGAGTCCCGGTGCTCACACACAGAGAAGTGCGAGGTGCTCTATGCGGCTTCAGTGTGTGACCCTGCAGCCCTGTCGAGGGCTCGACCTCACGGAGCGTCAGAGGGAGTGGTGCTCTTCGAGTCCTAGTCACTGGCATGGCTTCATTTTCTGACGTGGGACGTGTTGGAGTGAGTCGGCCTGGCTCAGACTTTCCCAAACGCTCCTGCTCTGTGAGCCTCAGCTAACAACAGCCCGTCCGGCGTCGGTCCTTCCATCCTTCAGACACCATCTCCTGCCCGGACGCTGTGGCACTGTTTTTGTCTTCATAGCTGGAGTGCTGTCAGTGTGCGCCCAAGTGCGTCCGTTTAAATCGACTGTGCCCACAGAAGCTCAGCCGTGGCTGCA